CTCTTACATGCAAGAATAACATGGCTTAGCTTGTCCCTATCTGGTGCAATGCAGTCCCTGTACATATAATATGCTGCATCTTTGCTAAAAATGCTTGAAAAATCTGTAGTGAGCAAGAGAACAATATATTCCATCATAGTTCTATAAATATGTTGCTTCTAGGAGTTTTGTGTCTGGTTTTTTTCCTTAAACATTTAATAGTATATAATAATTTCTTGCAATTATATGTTGATGCCTTTTGTTCAAAGGGTAAGTACTGTGCTGCTTTAACTGGTTCTTAGCAGACAATTTTACACACAGCACATTCTGCTTGTAGCTGTATTCGTGTGTTTTTCTCTTAAAATTATACCTAAATATTGTAAGATAATTAAATTAGAAACTAATATTTTTAAAGTACTGTATTTTTTCTATAGAGATTAATACAATAACCTCTATGTTATATAAGCAAAAAGATGCAGAAAGGTTTACATTACTTATAAACATACTGCTATTTGTACATGAAGCATTCTTTTTTTGATCAAATTAAAAAGTAATGTAATTTCAGGTTTATAATGCAAATATTGTTTAAACTGAAAGGATTCAGTATTTTGGTTGCGATATTTTTTTAGGGATAATTTAAAATGTGCAGCTTTAAAGGAAATAAATTTTACAGAATTATAGTGGCTAAGCAGCTGTTTCCACATGGTTAGGGCACAGAAGTTAGAGTTCCAATTTCCACATTAATCAAAGAATTGAGACTGCGAAATCCATTTCATTTAATCTCATTATTGAATAAACAGCTCTGTAGTGGTGCCTATTTGTACTTGTTTTTCTAATAAAAATGCAACTGCAGCTCTCAACACAAATTAGTTTTAATTATTTAAATGATATGAATTTGTCAAACATAAATAATCTAACACCTGTTTTGCCTTTTCATTTCATGAAAAATTGTGTTTTATGAAAACTAATAGAGGATGGTAGTGGGGAATAACAAAGGTAGGTCTATGTATTTATTACAATTCTATTCATTTTAAAAAAATGCAAATGTGAGTTGATTACTGTCTAGCAGGATGAAGAAATAGTCTGTTTCATTGCTATTCAAGGACACAATACAGCAAAGCAGAAGGATGTCTCACATACACTGGTTCAATGCTACTCACTTGTCCTGTGCTTGTCTCTGAGATTTGGTGACAGTGATTTACAGTTTAACAATTCATCTTCTGAATAAAAGGATAACATTACAAAGCAATAAGTGCTGAAAGTTTTAAGATGCTTAATCAAGGTGCCAAAAACTACCATGACAGGCACCAATATATGTGAAACAAACCTTCTCAGGCAAACTAAGAGACTGAATTTCCCTGTTTTGTCTTTGTTTTAGTAACTTTATTTCAGGAGATCTACCTGACCACACAAGAAGAGTACCCTAAGTGTCAGAAGGGTATAATGTCATATAAAAGCCCATTGGTAGCTAACTCTGAAAATGGAGATCTGTTTGTTTTCTCCACATTATAGTATAATTATGTTTGCTGTTTCTGTTTCATGCTACATTTTGTTTTAAAATATTTACTATTTAAAGTTCTGAATATCCTATTACACTGCCCTCAATTCATTTATCATTTGGTTGAGGAAACATTCAATCCAGTTGTGGTTATTGGTGGTGGCCTCATATGGCACTTCAAGCAGTGATAATTTGTATGACTTTCTGTATATTAAACCATTCTTTAATATTGATTCTGTTTGTGGTGTATTAACTGTTATCCTTTCTTGGTTAAGGAAATGTGCTAAGCAGATAGTCACTGTCCTAAATCAACAAGACAATTTTAGAGTCACACGAAGCTGTTGAAACCTACCACTCAGTAGTTTGTCTGCCAGATTAATCATCTTTATTGCCCCTTCTGGAGATGTCTCTCTTGCTTCCTGCAAAAAATTTCCACCAGGCAGGCTTATTGTAAGAACTTATGACACTCCAAGGATATGATTATGTGACCATCACAGTTAATATTGTGCCCTACATATCAGTAACATAGTCCAGGTTTTCAGAGCTATCAAAAAAGAAAAAAAAAAGCAAATTACAGATGATGTCTTCTAAAGCATTTTACTATATTTCAGAGTGCATTTTCTCTCACAATGTTCCTGTGATTATTTTGTATTAGCTATATTAATTTCTCAGTGCTGTTAACTTAAAATCCTTATATGCAACTTTTGTATATCAGCTTGTTTTATTAGAATCTTTGCAACATTTAATTATTGTTAAATAATCAGTAAATATGCTACAGAAAAGGTACTGTGGGACTACTGAATTTGGTTTTATGCCATTGGAAAACAACTGAAAGTCAATAGTTAGAAGAAAATCAAAGAACTACAATATGCAGCTATTCAAGAAGAATCTGAATTTTATTTAGTTCTTGTTATTTTTATAATAATAAATTTATTATTTGAGAAGATATAAATATAAACTAAAAAAGCTTATGCAAGAAAACAGGATGTTTTCAAAGCTCTCACTATACATCAGAGGATGCTAGTTTGTACTCTATATACATAAATTAGTGTAAGTAAAATGATAGTATTATCTTTGCTGATATTGCATTCAATGCTGCAATGTATCCTAAAAAGCCTTCTTGTTACTAAAGATACTTTGACAATGAGTATATACTTAAGCAAGTGTATCAGGATAATCAGTTTTCATATTAATATCTTTGAAACAAGACCAAGTTGGATCTCAGTTTTTCAATATATTTCCCTAAATAAGTGGAGTTCTTTGTTACTTAATAAAAGCTGTTAGTAAAGGAGGCGTGGAGAGGGTGGAGATGAACACGAATATGTTTAATCTAATGTATTGATACAAAGTAAACATTGCTGTAAAATTAATTGCTTGTTTTGCCTTCTAAAAGCTCACTTGGCAATGTATCACATTCCAGACTTTCTGAAGCCCAGTGAAATTTTGTAATAGCCTTACCTGGCAGCATCTATTCTTGGCAAAATACATTATTCCTCTTTCAGCACCTAGAGGATGTAACACACATCATTGAAACGTGTAATTTCTACTGTGCATGCTAGTTTTAAATTCAGATTGGAG